GCTTACCCTGGGTAGCCGCGTGCCAAATGTTGCCGACCCCTGCCTTATTCCAAAACAAAGCTATGATATGAAACCTTGAATCTTTAATACTGCTCAGCTTGAACAATTCTTTTTAAGCTACCCTACAGGGTTCTTACTCCAACACACATGTGTAATACTTTTGAATGACTAAAGTTGAAAACTTCATGTATTAGTGGAATAATAGTTGTCATTGCTTCATGAAAAAATAAGGGAAACAAAAGTGCTTTTGTCCTTTATTAGGAAAAGTTCAACTTTTACAATACTTTTCCTATACCTTTTAAGAAGGATTTCTTCCTCCAAATATGATAAGATTAACTGCAATGTCAGGATACTTTATACATATAACATTTCAAAAATAATAGTCATGAATCTTGTGGGTCCATTTTAGTAAAGTGCAAAAATGAGAGAGATGCTCACTCTCAAATAAAAAGAACAAATAAAAGCGCAATTAAAAAAAACTGTGAACTCAGTCACACAGTATTAGTGCCTTTTTTTCTTGATCTTACACTTACGGTATTTTTGGCCATGTTCTCTTTGTTTTTTTCTGTCATTTTCCATGCTACTGTCACTATCACTAGTTTGCTGCTCTCTTTTTCTTTTACAAGCATTTTCATTAGCCAGATATGATTCACAGTCGCTCAGTTGTGGAGGAACCCACTCAAAAGAGCTTTGCCCAGCTTTAAAATCCTCAACAGGATTCATATAGGGTGGCATGGGAAAAACTGAAGATGGTGGTGGAGTCATCTGATAGTAAGGAAGCTGCTGTTCCATTGGACTGTAAACAGCATACTGCTGTGTTAAAAAATGGCTCATCTGAAAAAACAAAAACTCAGTTATCAGGGCTGTCAAACAACTAAAAAAATCACAATTAATTGAGAGATTAAAAAATATCACAGTTTTAACTGCACTGTTAAACAATAGAATACCAATTTAAATTTATTATAAATATTTTGGATATTTTTCTACATTTTCAAATATATTTATTTCAATTACTACACGGAATATGAAGTATACAGTGTTCAGGTTATATTATTTTTATTACAAATATTTGCACTGTATAAAAGGTTTAAAAAGACCATGCTTTGACTTGTAGATTGCAGTAAGAGGCATACTAACGTTTAGCATATCTGGCACGTAAATACCTTGCAACACTGGCTACAACAATGCCATGTGAATGCCTGGTCTCACTTTTAAGTGACATTGTAAATAAGAAGCAGGCAGCATTATCTCCCATAAACGTAAACAAACTTGTTTCTCTTAGCGATAGGCTGAACAAGAAGTAGGACTGAATGGACTGGTAGACTCTAACCTTATTTAGGTTTTGAGTGCAGTTATGTAAAATAAATTCTACATTTGTAAGTTGCACTTTCATGATAAAGAGATTACACTATAGTACTTGTATGAGGTGAAATGAAAAATACAATTTCTTTTGTTTCTTTCTTACATTGCAAATTTTGTAATCAAAAATAATAATATAAAGTGAGCACCATACCATTTGTAGTCTGTGTTGTAACTGAAATCAATATATTTGAAAATGTAGAAAAATATCCAAAAATATTTATAATAAATTTAAATTGGTATTCTATTGTTTAACAGTATGATTAAAACTGTGATTAATCGCGCCTATTTTTTAATCTAGTTAATTTGTTTTGTGTTAATCGCTTAAGTTAACTGCGATAAATTGATAGTCCTACATATTAGACTAAGTTCCAACAAGACAAAGCTTAATTTTGCATGCACTACTGCATCTATAATGAAAATGTTAGCACCATTTTACAACTATAAGTTATTACCTTATATAACGCTTTTCCATCTTCAAAGAGCTACAAAAATATTAAGTAATTCTATACCTTTGTAGGATACCTTAGTATCTCCATTTTACAGTCAGGAAAATTAAAGCAAATGTTAGACTCGATGCGTCAGAGTCTCTACTCTAGATAAGCAGGAACAGGGATGGCAATACAAATTATAAATGTGTGTGTGTGCATGCATATGCTGGGGGAAAGGGCTTGGAGCAGAAAAGTGGTTTTATGTCATCTTTGTGCCTTCCCAAACTTTGGCCTTTGACTAAGTTAGGGCATCTCAAGGTATCTCCAGTTTATACCTGGGGCCGTTGTGGCAGCTGGACTGCAGTCATGTTTCAGCCAACCTCTCCTAGCTATACTTTCAGCACACCTCCTGTCTCATCTAGAGAAGCACTATAAGTATTCCCTAGTTTAGCAGATCTACTGTCTTTAATATTGGCAGCCTAATTGGACCATAGGGCAACACAGAATCCAACCCACAATGTTTGCTGCCTAAAGTTGAGCACTAAAATCCATATCCAGGCACCACAATGAGCAACCTTATTTTTCAGAAGAATGGGGCTCCCTCAATTTGGGGAGCCAATGTCAGAGTAGGATTAAAATTTTGGACTGGTAGCCAGACACTCAAATTCTGATCAGCTTCCATATTAATGTGTTACACAAGCACCATGTCAGAAAACAAAATATCCGATTTTTATACTCCCTGGTATGCTAAGAATTTGTAACTACTATACAGATATACCTCCGTTATTTGGACATGGTGACTAGGAATTCAGATAATATACTCTTTAATACATTAATTCTGTTGTCTTTCATTTCACACAAGTCATTTTGCTTTAATGGAAGGAACAACTATTAACCAGATTTGTAACATTTATGCAAACTTACCATCTTTTGAAAGACTGAATATTCCTGAGGTAAACTATTGTTCATTGGAAAAGGAGTAATGGGAAATGGAGGACTGCCATAAGGCTCTTGATTCCTGTGAAAGCAAGCATAAATACGTGAAGTTGTCTCTTGTCAAAGATTCCCTTTTTTAAAAAAATCAATTATTTGAATTTTGGGATATCACATGCAGCTGACTGGATGGATGATATGTTAAAAGCTGAATGAACTTCTGTTTTAAGAGCTGAAGCCCCATGACAAAATTGTGTCAACTAAAGGTACTAGAAGAGAGGATTCAGCGAAGGCCTGTTCCCGAAGGCCTGTTCCCAAAGTCAACTGAAGTCCATGGAAAGACTTACATAGACTCTAAATGACACTGTATCAAGCCCTGAGAGCTTAATTTCCCTTAATAGTTCTGCCAGAGTTTTAAACAGAAGTGTTGAAGATCTAGGCTGGTTTTCAGAGGTAAGCTCCATTATGATGATTTATGTTTTTGTATTCTTATGGCATTTGTACATGCATACAAACTTGATGGAGTTTTAAAATTATTTCTATTATCACTGACTTTTTTTTCTAAAAAATGTAGTTCTAGAGGTTTTTTTGTGGGAAAAAATGCTCTGAAATAATTTTACAACATTTATACTTTCTTCTGGCAGAAACGAGGCATGTAAAATTCATTCTGTCTGGTCATTTTGGATTGACATAGTATCCATTCTAATCACCCAAATGTTTAAAATAATAGGATCCAGGCCAAACCACACTGGTCTAAAAACCAAGCTTGCTGACCTGTGACTAGGCAGAGGTAACATGGTCCCCAACAGCTTGACCAGCTAGCAGGGATGGAGTCAAAATACACTACAACTGTTTGTATATGTGGTATGTACACACTGATCTCAGATTCTAGTATGGGTTACAACTTTTAAAATAAAAGATGTTTCATAACAAAAGACCTCCACCCCCAATATAATACAGTAGAACCTCAGAGTTAACAAACACCTCGGAATGGAGGCTGTTTGTAATTTTGAAATGTTCATAACTCAGAACAAAACATTATGGTTGTTCTTTCAAAAGTTTACAACTGAACATTGACTTAATGCAGCTTTGAAACTTTACTATGGAGAAGAAAGATGGTGCTTTCCCTTTTTTTTAGTAGTTTACGTTTAACACTGTACTGTACTTTTTTGGGGGGTTTTTTTGTCTCCGCTGCTGCCTGATTGTGTACTTTCGGTTCCAAATGAGGTGTGTGGTTGACTGATCAGTTCATAACTCTGGTATTCGTAACTCTGAGGTTCTACTGTAGAACCATTAGGGCAGAGGGAAAGCTCAGTGGTTTGAGCATTGGCCTGCTAAACCCAGGATTGTGAGCACAATCCTTGAGGGGGCCATTTAGGGATCTGGGGCAAAAATCTGTCTGGGGATTGGTCCTGCTTTGAGCAGGGGGTTGGACTAGATGACCTCCTGAGGTCCCTTCCAACCCTGATATTCTATGATTCATTCTGGGTTTCGCACATAATCAGAGAGACTGAGAATTCCATGTACCATCAAACTCAGGCACAGCAACATAAACTGTATGTGTGGGGCCAAAAATAATATACCATGACCATCATTTTACAGGGTGAAATTTACTATATTAGGTATTCGTTTCCTTGAAATACTTGTAAAAGGATCCTTGGTATTAAAGTGTCTCTTGCTTTACTTCTATAAAGGCCTAATGCTGTTTCCACGTACCACAATGTAAATAGGCTTGAGCCCGCAGTACTTTAAAAATACATGTGGTGGGGTTTTTTTTGGTGAAAGCTATTTCAACTCCTTTTTCTCCTCACCCATTGATTGCATTATCCCATTAGGCAGATTTCAATTAAGTATTAAATTAAATTTAAAATAATGTAATATCTTGAACACCTTGCAATATTTTCACAAATGTTCTCCATTACCTATACGTTGGTGAATATATGTCAACCCAGTTCTCAAAACCTTGGCTAGGGCTGTTTAACTCTGGTGAGTGGGAACTCCCTGTAAACAAAATAAAAATGGTAACATTTATTCTGTTTTATATGAAGACTATTACCTTAACTTGTTAAAAATAAAGAAACTGTCCTAAATCAGTTGGGGGAGACACAAAGTTGTTTTTTTTTTTATAGCAAAGCACTTGTAGATATAAGACACCATTCTACAGCAGATTAAAATTCCAGAGCCTGATTGTGATCACATGAAAACATTTGCTGAACGTTCATGTGGCCCCACTTATTACAGTGGAGTTACTTCTGATTTAACAGTGGTGTAACTGAAAGCAGAACCTGGCCCACTTTGTTGTAGAAGATATTTCCTTAACTCATGGGTAAGTTTCAAAAGTGGCTAAGAGACTCAGGAGCCTAAGTCCCTTTTCAAAAGAGACATAGGCACTTAGAAGCCTAAATCACAGGGCACGTCTTCACTACCCGCCGGATCGACGGGTAGCAATCGGTCTATTGGGGATCAACTTATCGCGTCTAGTGAAGACGCGATAAAAATCGATCCCTGATCGCTCTGCCGTCGACTCCGGAAATCCACCGCGGCAAGAGGCGGCAACGGAGTTGACGGCGGTGCGGCAGCGGTCAACTCGCCGCTGTCCTCACAGCCAGGTAAGACGACCTAAAATACGCAACTTCAGCTACGCTATTCAAGTAGCTGAAGTTGCGTATCTTAGGTCGACCCCCCACTGTAGTGTAGACCTAGCCTCATTGAAAGTCAATGGGACTTAACTTCCTAAAACACTCAAGCACTTTTGGAAAATGTTACCCTATGCCAACAGAACAGAGTAGAAATCCTATAGCTTATATTTAGTACACAACACAAATTATTACCATAGTATATTTACATAATCCCACAATGTTTAAATAACATTAAGGATTTGACTTAAAAGGACAGACTTTCAACAATTAAGAATCCTTTTTTCTTCTCTTCACTTTTTGTAAATACTCTTAGTAGCTTGAAAATTAGATTTCTCTAACTAGTATTTCGCTTTCTTTTTGCCAATTGTTTATTTTCTCTTTCCTGTGCTCTTTCTGAGGCTAAACAAATATTTTTGTTTAATTTACAGTCAACTTCACCACAGCTTTCAGAATAGTTTAACTGTAGAACTAAAGAGCCTGGACACTGTGCTCTTAAAGTGGACTGTGTTGGATGTTTCTTTTTGGTGACTCACTCAGAAAATGACTCAGTGACAGATTTTGAGTTTTCTAGAAAGAAATATAGCATATGGAGGACATTCTCTGAGACAAATTTTCATGGATTGATTAATTTTGGAAGTAAACTGCTGGAAAGTGTTCATCTTAAAAAAGGTACAATCTGAAATGCCGTTCTTAACTCATCATTGGGATAGTTCTCTGACTGAGACTCGAGGGACATGGAGACCAAATCCTGACCTCACTGAAGTCAATGGCAAACTTCATTGGGACCAATCCAAGTTTACCCATGCACCGATGAAAAAATATGGGAAGAGGGTAGGAAGGAGAAATCACACCTAGTACATCTAGTACAGTACTTCAGCACATTTTTGTTGTTGTTTAATCTGGCAGGCCATTACTGAGATATAAAGATAATTAATAATACATTATAATTGTATATCACATATATAAATGGTTATATTTTACTGTGATATTAAAGGAAAATTATCATTTTCTATTTTTGAAAGCACTTACCTATGTATCTTAGTGCATTCTCTCTTCAGATTATTAAATTTGACCATTTGAATGTCGTTTATTTTCTATCATTTATGACAGACTGACTTTCCATTCACAGTTAATTGTATCCGACAGAATTAAGTAATAAATGATTTTACTGTGTACAATACCTTTATATTTTAGATTCTGTATGAATAAATGGCTAGCAGAGACTGCATCTACATTAGCAAACTTTATCGCGGTAACACACCAATGGTAAGGAGCAGTGTAGGCTGTAGTGTCAACAGGATGCCCAGGTTAATACTGCAATGTTTGGGTTGCAAACACTGCAGGGAAATTCTTATTTGTTTTGTAATTGTTTGAACTGAAATTATTTTCATATATGTTAGTGGAATCTACTAGTCACAAGTTTATAAAAGTTTGGGTTTTATTTTCTTAAATTGGGTTCAAATTTTAATTCTGTATTTGACAGTACCCTTTTAACCACATATTTTCCATTAAAAAAAAAAGTAAAAACAAGCATATGCTAGCAGTCTACACATCCCTTTTCTGCCTCAGAAAAAAACTTGGCAAGCAAACATGTGATAAAATACTCTACTGTAAACATTCTCAGCCAAGTTCTACTTTCAGTTACACTGGTGTAAATTCAGAGTGACTATACTGTCTCCAAATTTACATTGGTGTGATCAGAATTTTTTGCCATCTTGTTGTCGTCACTGTATTCTCTCTGATACCTTACAAGTTATGTTCTGAATCCCCTGGCCTTCCTTTCTTATTAAACTTAAAAACACAAATATTTGATCTTGCTATATGAATATGGACAAAGTATTTCTTCCTAAGAGAACAGATTGTGCTTTGTTCACTTGTGACCCAACTCTCAAAAAGACTACAGTAAATCACGAATTTGCATGTCACACAGCTGCTAAATCCATTCTACAATGACAGAGCAGAGCCAGAATTTCACATTGAAGAAAAACTAAAGTTACTAATTCAATAGTTTTGGAATTACTAAACCTACCAAATCGATACTGTACTTTAATTGGTCTTCCATATAAACGGATTCCATTCAGCAAAGCTATAGCATAAGGCACTGATTCTGTGTGTTTAAAGCAGACAAATCCAAAAGACTTGGGTTTTCCTTCTTTGTCCTTACATATGGTCACGTTGGTTAATGGTCCAGCCTGCAAGAAACTTAAATTATTTTCTCATAAATCCTTAGTAGAGAATAGCTTTTCATTCTGTTTTGAATGTTTATTTCATTCATGAATATTTAGCAATGGTCAGACCTACACAAAATGCAAGCATGTGATATTTAAGATTCCCTACATCATTTTGACTATGCACGTCATTCTTTACTGACTGAATCCATATAGCTTCAGACCTGGGGCTCTTGCAAGTAAAAGTCAGCTGTGCATGTGTTTGAAGGTAACAAAACATCTAATTAATGTGTGGTTATCATTGGTCCTGATCACCCCACTCACACTTTCTCTCTTTATCTTTTTAAATTATACATTATTTGTGGCAGAAACTGTCTTATGTCTGAACACCAGCAAGCACAATCCTGATAGGAACCTTTGGGTGCTGCTAGTGCAATTCAAATAGTGAGTAATACCAGCTACATATAACTAGGTCTCCATCTATGTTGCAGCTTGCATAAGTTCAGGTAACAAGTAGCATTATTCAGTTTTGATCAGCTACTTAAAAAAAAAACTATAGTAGGAATAGCAAACTTGGGCAGGTAGCACCACTGTTATCTATAATTGAAACAATACAAAAAAACAATCAATCAGTTTTCACTCAAACATTGGCAACCTGTCATCACAAATATGTAACACAGAAAAACAAGGGGCACTGACAACCATTAGGGATAAATTGTAGCTTATATTAAGCATTAGGCCCACATGTCTCCACAGAGAAGGGATCCATCTCTGTGCCACTTGAACCATTTCAGTACTGGGTAAGCATTTTTTTAGAAGAACCAAGTTCAAAGTGATCATGCTTCAAGAAATGCTGATTCCTGAATTTCAAATAAGTAGTAGTTTTCATAATACAGCATCCAAGACAATCAGCCTTCAGTGCAAAAGAGAAGAATGAACTAGTATTTTAGTCACTGAATCAGCATTTCCTCCTGAGATATGCTCCACTTCTAAAATGTTGATTTGGCAGAGTGAGAGGAAATAGGAAGAGGAGCCCTCCTACCACAGGCCAGGAATGCTTAAGAGTGGTCATACTATAGTTGGCTCATTTGTAGGGGGAACAAGTATGTCACCCATTGCTGTCTTGGGTTGGTCAAATTGCTGTTCAGTTCACTAGGTGGGGTCATGAAGCAACTAACTAGATGTTCAAATTACTGTTGTACAGCTATTGGACTTTTGGTCTTAAATGAGTGGCTTACTTGTTGGAAGTACTGATGATGAAATGAAGTTTCAGGTAAGAGCCAAAAAAACCCTCAAAAATCATGTACTACTTTAGGCCAGGTAGCATTCTGTATGCTTGGCTTTTCAGCAATTGTAAACCTGTTCTTCCTGCACAAACTGCCAGAGGCTTATATTTTCAAGTATATGCACAGGCTAAATGGGGAACACTAGAGCACAAAGGAAAATAAAATCAATCTTAGGTTTTCTGTATTTCTACTTAATGTCATACTCAGGATTTTAGAAGATCATTAGCAAAAAGCAAAATCAGAATTTGTCTGTCTAGGGAACTGATCCTTTTGATTCATGGTGCTGAGCTGACAGTCATGTTACCCACTCCATATTATCACACTGAAGACATTAAGAATCCTCATTAAGGATTCTTGATTAATGTAATCTGATTGCAATGCACTGTTGCCAGCTATCTATGAATTGGGACTAGATTAAATAAGATGACTGCACATACTTCTTCTGAAAATAAAGTTTAAAAATGATTTTTTTCAGAAAAAAATGGAGAATACAAAAGATGAAGGTAAATATGAAGGAACAAAAATAATGTACCATTTTTTTTTCTAATTCTATTGCAACAGAATGCTGATCGAGATAGGCAGAAGATTCAGCCCAGGCTATCCTGTGCAGGGAGTCTTCAGAAAGGTGATCTTGCATCTTCAAACATCTTGAAGTATTTGTTTTTTAAAGGAAGGCACATTTCAAAGTAATGGCAACTCAGCCACCAACTTTTGCAATTCTGCTTTATTTTTTCCAGAGTTGTTCGAATCTTGAAGCAATTTTTTTTCCTAATCTGCAAGTTTCCTACAAGTATCCAGTCTGCTGCTCAGGATTTGTCTAATGCAGATTATCTGGTTCTTCAAGAACTAGTAGTAACAAACCATGTGCTCTGATGATCAATCTTTTATACGTAGATCTTCCTGTTTATAAATAAAAAATAATTTTGTGCTGAGCAAAGTTACATAAATGAATAGTTATAAAAATGAAAAGAGAATAAATTTTATAACTGTTTTTTCTATTTAATGTGGTAAGAGAAAACACTATGATACAGGAAAACAGGTTTAGGAACTAAAGCCTTACGAGTGTTTTTGGACTATGAGGTGCTACCATACTGAATTCTACAGTCTCCATGAGAGAGGGGAGGAGGACAGCACGGCAGTGGAACACATCCAGCCACAATAAAAATAAGAGTAAAGGAGCATGTATGGGGGAAGAGAGAAGGAGAATAAGGAAAAAGAAAAGACTTGCTTGGACTCTTGAGGAGGTGTATGACAGAAGCTACGGCTAAATAGGTATACATTGTTAGCCAGGATCAGATGACCAGGGTAGCTCATGCACAAGATTCATTTCTGGGTGAAGGACTTCATGTTGGGAGTGTCATCCTATTTTTATCCCACTGGGAGAGCATGATGGACTGTCTCACTAGGGATCATGAGTAGTACAACATGGTTTAAACGTAGGGAGCGACAACAGAACGGCTGCTAAGGGGAGATGAGATGGATTCTTTTTTTCACCTCTATCTCTGGAAAAAGCTAATTCAAGGATTATGAAGTGGCAGAGACAATAACAAAGGGTCGAACCTTCTAAAATACGAAAAAGTCTAGGCTGTGATGCTTTTTTCTATAATTGGCCTGTTTATTGTCAGTGAGGGGAACCCTGATGCCAGTGAATTTCTGATGTGAACACTATACACATGCACACACATGTGCGTGCGCTCACACACACACAGATAGCACAGAAACTGATCCCTACCTCAACATTTAAAAGGTAACTGGCAGGGATTTAGTGCATTTGCATACACAAGCACCGAAAACATTTGAGAGAGAAAATTTAGGCAACATGTTTTTCACTGTGAATGGATCACATGCCTCTCCTCCCTGTACTAGTTCCTACAGATCGGGGTAACCTAAGTATGTCCAAGGACCCAGAAGCAAGCAAAGGACTATTGTTACCAACTCCTACAAATTCAGTGTGTCTTGTAATAGTAGTTCTTCTTAATGCCCCAGTTTCTGAAGTCAGGTGATTACATGAGAATCTTAGCTTTCTCGTAACTTTTTCTGGTTTTGTACCTTTCTAACCTTTTCTGGTACAGAGAAATGCTGGAAAACATGACCCAAATGATTCAAAACCCAGAAAGCAAATAAAGAAACAAAAAGTTTATTGAAGTCCCATGATTTGGGGGCCAGATTTACAATTTTTGAATGTTGGAGGCTGAGAATACCAGAATAGACAACGGGACAGAGTGGCCACCCTCCTCATGGACACGGGGCAGAGAGCTAAGGGAGCCAGCACCCTCAGCCCCAGCTTCGGGGCTAGAACAGGAGGACACGGACCCTGTACGGGGGGAGTGACTTCTTCAACCTGCTCCGTTGGATGCAGGTGGGAGCCCTGCAACACCACACAACACAAGGGCAGCTCCTGTACTGACTGCAGCCCACACCCGTCCAAGCCCCATCACAGAGACACCCCAACCTGCCCCACCCAGGGGCCCTTCCGGTCCACCAAGACCCCCTCACCTCCCACCTCCCAGGGTAGGCCCCGCTCCTGGGCCAGGCCCCCACATTGTACCTGCCTCGTTCCTACCAGGCCCCGCCCCCACTCCACAGACCACCTGCCTCATCCAGACTCCACCCCCGCCCCCAGGCCATGTGCCCGCATTCCAAGTCCCACCCCTCATTCCACCTCTTTGACCCCACCCCTTCCCAGGCCCCGCCCCCAGCTGCCCACTCATTCCACTTGCCCGCCCCTTGCCAGGCCACGCCCCCGGCCGGCACCTGCAGGAAGAGCTCGTAGAGAATCTCCTCCCGCACGCGGCTCTCCAGGTTCCCTACGAACAGGGTCCGGTCCGGCTCCCCCGCCCGCCCCGGTGCGGACATGGCGGCCCAGCAGGGCGTCAGTCAGTCAGCGCCAGCGCTCCATCAGCGCCGGCACGGGGCGGGGGGAAGAGGGAGTGAACACGCACGACCGTCCGTAAAGCACCGGCCACCCGTCTCAGCAGCGCGACAGGCAGGTGGGGTGCTTTACTGAGGTTGCTAGGAGACTAGTTCCGCGCCCTGTGGCATCCAGAAGACTGCGTTTTCGGGCTCGGCGGCCCTAGCAACCCTCGTGCGGGCAGCGCGCGAGGGGGCGGAGCTTCGCTCTTTCCAACCCCGCCTCCTGATGGGGAGGGCTGGGAGACAATGGAAACGGGAACCACCTCCACAGCCTCTCTCCCCCTGCGCCGCCTCTAGGCCAACCGCCCCGCCCGCCAGTCGCACGTACAACGGCTCCCGGCTCCGCCCAGCGCAGGGACGTCTGACGTCACCGGGCAGCCGCGGTAGCCGGGCGCCGACACCCCCGCTGGCCGTGACGTGCGCGGACAGACCCCGATCCGCCGCGGCGCTCAGCGCCTGTGCAAAGGCCCCGACCCCGGAGTCTGACCCTGAGCAGGGCGCTCCCCGCTGCGGTGCGCAGTCCCCGCTAGGCTTGTGCTGGAGTCGCCAGGAATTAAAGATGATGTGGTGTGTTATATTCCAGGGATACATGCATCCAAAACCGGCTATTGTCTCTGGGACACAGGCAGCCTGAGACCCCTCCCCTCTTCCTGCTGCAGAAGTGGTACCTGTGGGGAAATCACAGGCTTAGCTTCACTAGATGAAGCAAGTGGTGCCCAGGGACTTGTTACTTTTGAATACGCTTGTCATCAAGTTGCATTAGTTGTCTTTTACTTGGTGGCCTTAGTACTGCAGCCCCGTGTGAGCACCCCCTGAAAATGAAAAAAATAAAGTCAGTTTGTGTTCCACTTGCCATCATGTGGCTCAACTAGATATTACAGTTGTTGTCATAGGGTTGGTAATTGCAGATATTGAGAGGAGCCCCATTCTTCCAGTCCATACATGAAATCATATTAATGATCTCAGTCAGCAATATAATAACAAAGCATTATAATACAATTCTAAAGAAGAAAAGTGTTTGATTTGAGATTTCTGTGTTTACAGGTCTGTCTCATCTTATGCTGGGGTTACGTTCCGGGGTCAGCGCGTAAAGTGAAAACCATGTATAGTCAAAATTACATTGAGTGTAATGGTGGGTGGAATTGCCCACCCTACAGGCACAGTATTTAAATAGTTTTTTGTTTTGTTTTTGCCAACCGTGTAAAGCTGAATTCGCGCATGTTAAATGCACATAAGATGAGACAGACCTGTAATTAAATTTGAAATATTGCAAGTGGTACCTAGTAAGTGTCATGAGATCAGTGATATAGCTAAAGTTGGCATGATGGTTGCATTCGAACTGTCTATTTTAGGATATACAGATATTGCTTAAATCAAATAAATATGTACATTTACCTTTATGTTGCTTCAGTGTTGTTTAACAAAATAGCACATTTCCTGAAATGATCTAAGTGATAAAAAATCTTACTCTGATAGTTTTATAAGTACTTCTGCTTTGCCCTGTTTATTAATGGTTAAAATACCCAAATATTCAGTGGTTCTGAGAAGCAGGGGGTTTGGCTTAGCTTTGAAATTTGCACTAGTGTTTTTCACTGATGCCTAGTTTATATGCTAGCAAGGTGCACTAGCTTGAGTCTTCTTGAGGGTCTTGATCCAAGTACACCTCTCCCCTGATATAACGCTGTCCTCGGGAGACAAAAAATCTTACCACGTTATAGGTGAAACTGCGTTATATCAAACTTGCTTTGATCCGCCGGAGTGCGCAGCCCCGCCCCCCCAGAGCACTGCTTTACCGTGTTATATTGGGTCGCATTATATCGGGGTAGAGGTGAACTTTGAAAGTCAATGTGAGTTTGTGACAGAATGTACCTCTGTATTCACACCCTACACACTTTTGTAATCTTTGTACAAAGCATGCCTTGAAAACTCATAACTTGCTGATCAGTATAGTCCTGATAAAATACGTGGCGATATAGTATATGAAATTATAAGATTACATTGTATGGTGTTATTAACACATGTTCCAAACTGAGGTTAGCAGATAGGTCTCTCTCAAAGGAATGTGTGCTTTGCTTAGTTTGCATTCAAGCAATAATCAGAGTAATGAAGTAGGAAGCAAAACAAAGGAAGTTCAAAAAAGGGGAAGAAAAGCAGCAGGGATCATCCTTCAGTATGGACACTGTCTCCTGAAACTCAGCTGGCAATGTTTTTCAAGAGGGGGACTGAAACTATAAAAAAGAGGGACAAACACCCCAGGGCATCCCACTGTTCTCTGTCTCTGTGCCCATCAATTCACAGCACCTGAAGAGACGAAGGAAACAGCCGTTGGATGGGGGTGGGAGAGCAGAATGGTCCTGACCTAGGAAGTTTGGTCAGTAAGACTGCTGAAAACATGTGATGAGAAAACTTTGCTTTGAATTTAACATAGTTTGTTAATCTAGGTACAAGTAGCATTTTATCTTTATTTTTCTTGTAAACATTTCTAACTTTTATGCCTCATTATTTGTACTTATTTAAAATCTCTCTCTTTGTAGTTAATAAACTTGTTGTGTTTTACTTAATCCAGTGTGTTTAAATTGGAATTCTGATAAATTCCATTTGGGGAGGCAAGTTGTGTGCATATTATTCCTTTTAAAGAATAATGGATCTAATATAGCTTGTATTGTCCAGGACAGGTCTGGGCAATACAGGGCATACATTTCTGGGGTAAATCTAAGACTGAGGGTGTATTGGGGTCACCCTGCAATATAACTAAAGCTGATGAGAGCTAGAGTGTAACCCAGATATGGCTGGCAGGTTGCAGTATTCAGGGTGTAGCTCGCACGTTGGAGGCTATGAGCAACCTAGATGGAAGCCACTTCAGCAAGACAGTGTAAGGCACACAAGTTGCAGGGCACAGGTGACACAGCTGCTCATTAGCCTGGATTGTACCTTGGTATGTCCTAGAGCAGGGATTGAAAGGCGACACGCGAGCTGATTTTTAGTGGCACTCTGTTGCCAGCCGGCGTCCTGGCCGCCGACCCTGCTCAGCCCTGATGAACGGAACCCCAGGCCAGCAGCGGGCTAAGCGGGGCCGACGGCCTGGACCCCGTCTGGCAGGAACCGGCGATGGAACCCCAGACTGGCAGCGGGCTGAGCGGCTCAACCTGCTGCCAGTCTGGGGTTCCGCCCGTCATCCTCCTGCCAGCCGGGGTCCCTGCCACCGGCCCCACTCAGCTGCTGGCCTGGGATACCAGCCGCCGGCCCTGCTCACCTCGCTGTCAGTCTGGGGTTCCAGCCACCGGCTCCCTACCAGCTGGGTGTCCGGGCTTCCAACCCTGCTCAGCCCACTGTCAGCCTGAGGTACTGACATCCAGCCCGGGGCTTTGCTCCTAACCTGGGCCTGGCGCTCTGCTCCTGGCCTGGGCCCAATGCTCTGCAGCTGCCCCGAGCTGTGGCCCACTGGCCCCAGCCTGGAGCAGTGAGGGATGCAGATGGGCAAGAGGGGGCGTAGCTCAGCACCCTCATCTTAAAAATTGTTCCAGGCCATTGGGATATTTTAAAGTCCTGGTTTGCTGCTTATATCAGACCACATCTGCATTTGACCTTGTGCGTGCCCTCTGTCACCATTTTTTTTTCCACTGAGAGTTGAGGGGAACATTTGACAAAATGGCAGCTCCTAAGACAGCAAAGTTAGATGTCCGTTCTTTTCAGCCTTCTTGGACAAACACATTTGGATTTATTCAAAAGAAGGACCGTGCTGTTTGTGAAGCAGACAAGACTGAATCGATCAAAAAGGCAGTAGCAGGATATGAGAAGCAAAGCAGTGTTTTTAAAAGCTTAAGTGTGAGTAAAAATCAAGCTACAGAAGGAAGTTACAAGATTGCACAGTGCATTGTGAAAAACGGAAAGCCATTTACAGATGGGGAATATATAAAAGAAGTTTTTCTCAGCAGTTCAGAGATTTTGTTCAATGATTTGCCAAATAAAGATACGATCATATCTAGAATAAAAAACTGCCTGTCTCTGCCAGAACAGTTGAGAGCTGCATAAGCGAAATGGCAAAAAAAAAAAAAATTAAGGAAAAGCAGACAACTGCATTAAAAGACACAGCAGTGTTTAGCGTTGCAGTGGATGAGAGTGTGGATATAAATGATGTTCCACTTTTGGCAGTTGTTGGAAGATATTGTGCTTCCGATGAAATCAAAGAGGAACTTTGTTGCCTAAAACCCCTGTATGACACAACAAAGAGGGAAGATATAGTGGAAAGTTTTGTAAACCATTTTGAGGAACGAGGAGTTGACATCAGAAAAATATTTTGTGTGACAACGGATGGTGCTCCTGCCATGGTCGGAAAACAGAAAGGATTTGTAAAGTTACTTGAAGATCAAATTGGCCGCCCTACAGTGAAATTTCACTGTATCATCCATCAAGAAAACATGTGTGCTAAAATTTCTAATTCAGAGCTTAATAATGTGACGAATACAGTGGTGTGAATTGTGAATTTCCTTGTTGCTTGCTCTGCTTTGACTCACAGACAGTTTCAAGC